AGAGAGAGAGAGAACGCAGGGTGCTCACCATGGGCCGTCCTGGGGACTCCGACGTCTGACTGACTTTCGTCCCAGAAGTCGTCGTTGTCTGTTGCTGTTGTTGGTTGTATAACTTTGTCAGAAAGGCCTGTTCTTCCTCGACGACTATCTCCGTTTCAGTACCACCGATGCCGAGGGGACTGTCGCCCAGCATGTATTCCGAAGCCCGATTTCCAGAGAGACCTTTCAACGTTGTTGGGTGGGGGACAAATACAGACAGACTGAAGATATATTCAGCAAATCCTACAGCAGACTATTAAAATCGTGAGTAACAATGAAGTTGGTCGCCCCCCTCCCCGGCTCCAGAATACTGACTTACGGGACGCTTGGTTTTCGTTTGGTTTAGCTTCGGTTTAATATTTCTTTTATTAGTTTAATTTCAGTTTTTATTTTAGTTTTGTTTAGTTTAGCTTAGTTCAGTTAATGTATTTTAGTATAAAGTAGTTATTTATGTAGACTTATCTTGTGTTGGCGGCATCTAAGGAAACGTAAAATCAAACTTAACCTTCTAAATAATAAACTAAAAACTAGAATTAATTAAACTAAAAGACACCACAGAACTAGGGGGCAAAGCGTATTTAAGAGGGACGACTAACTTTATTGCGACCAAATCGTTCCAGATAGACTTTCCATCATTGTTGGATAGGAGGGAACATCAGAAACAGTTAAGATACCCTGAGTGAATTCTAAATCAGGCTATTAAAATCGTGGATAACAATAGAGCTGGTCTCCCATCTCAGATACCCCTTGTCCCACTATGGGTGGTATTTTGTTTGTTAGTTTTGTTACTTAAATTTTAGTTTAGTTAGTTTTTTTGCTAGAATCCTACTTTGCTTCCCAGATATTATTTAAATAATCCAATTTGTTCGCAAAAAAAATAGCCCGTCATCAATAAAAATAGGAATTTACTTATATTTCTTACTTGCTTATAGTTTATTGGGTGTGCCGCTTATACACTTTAGAGTTTATTTGGTTCCCTAATATTCCTGAGTAAAAATGGTGATTAGGAGGTAGTCTACCTCAACATACCTGAGGTCCAACTTTCTGTTCTGGAGTTAGATTAGTACAGTTCGCGCCGCGAAGCCCCGCGCAACCCTTCAGTTTACATGTGCAATAATTTTAATTCGGTTTATTTTGTTCATTGAAGCTATTTATGCATAAGTTCAGTTTTCATTCTAGTTCTCAGTTCATTATTATGTTTACTATCCTTATTTTGAGTTGACCCAAGTGTGAAAAACTCTAGGCGTTTGGCGGGATTT